CATATGCAAATCTGATGAGAACTGGCAAAAACTAGCCTTTCTGTTTCTAGAATTAAAACTACATCCCCAAAATACAAACAAGCCCTGGAGCTAGCCCATTGCCACTGGTGTAATCCCAAAGTAGGTGTGCTCCAGTGATATAGCTATCTTGGCAGCTGTAAACCCTGGATGGACATGACAATGTTCTAGTGGTGTGTGATGTTATAGTTGAGATGGTCCAGGAATTATGCAAGACGCAATGATGTTTTGGAACATACTATGATTCCTACACATGCCTTTCCCAAAATGTGATATACCTGATCTAATACACCAAGTGCCTTTATGGCAACCACGTGGGTAAAATTAAAGAGTAACTATACACCAGAATGAATTCTCAAAGAAAAAAATATAAAGGATGGAGACACATGCACACCATTAAGAGAACATTTCTTATGGAACAACTACTCCCTCTCTGACCTCACTATCCTCATGCTCAAGGGAAATCTACCTAACACTTTTAAAAGGTGAACTTGGGAACAAAAATTCAGAAGCTGACTGGACACTAAAAGCCAAGGACTAAACACTGATATTGGTTTTATAGACATTATATTTATCTGACTCCTGAATTGTTTCCATACATGAAAGGTAAGAATGATCTTTCTCCCTTTTGATAGACATTGATCTCCCAGTAATCAGCTTCATTTCTTCTGCTAGTTGTGTGTCAGTTACTCCTGGGAAATTCTCTTATTCCATTCCACTGCTGTTCTTTACTACGCTGTGCCTGGTTCTTATGATCAGGTCTGAGAAAGATTGTCTTGGGCTCCTGACAGATGTTAAAGTAAGGGCATGATGGGATCCCAACAATCCTGCTTCCCGCCTTGACAGAAGGCACAATTGTATGATCCTGCATCAGATACTTTTGCGCCATATTGTCGGTGCAGGGGAGACTGATCCTGGGCTTCCCTTGTGCCATCAAGAAGTAAGATTGTTTAAGAACTGGGGGAGTGCACCATGCCCTCCCTTGGCTGGAAGCCCCAGTTATCTGGGTGCAGTCCCTGGCTGTGAGCCTGAATCATTGGAGGGGCCTCGAAGCCTCTGGAGCACCCAAAAGTCTTAAAAGTTAGCTTGTAGCTGTATGCTCCAAAGGCTGGGCACTGGCTCCACGTTCAGTTAAAGATGGATTAGGAACCAAGGAACCCGTCACAAAGTATGCATATTTTGTGTAATAACTTTGTGGCTTGCTCCTTGTTTTATCACACCATTACTTGATTGAACATGTGGCCAGGTTACCACTTAAGACACAATTAACCACTTTATCATGTTTTAAGTGCAATGTCTGTCAGGAACCTTGCATTTGAAAGCTGGTCTAACTATCTCCATTAAATAGTCAGTCCAATAAAAGATGTCACTTTTTGCATCTGCCTCTTGCATCTTCTGACAACAGTCTCTTGCAGTGAAGATGAAAATTAGCAAATGCAGCCACGTGTACACATGCTCCAGAGATATAGCATTATCAGCAACTGTTAGCTGACAAAAATTTACAGTACGATAGAGAGTTTTGCTGCCGGGATGTGGGATAAGGCATACTCATGATAACTGTCCTGAATGTCTTAGAGTAGAGGCAGGTGATGGCTCTATCTCTGAATTATGTTTAAATCTTCTAGGTTGGATAATGATGATGAAGGGCGTTAACAAACTGAAACTTTTTTACGGTATAGAAACAAATTCTGTAGCTAAGAATACCATTTTTAATGCTGTGCCATGCCCCCTTTTGATTCAAGCTCTGGTACCATGAGGTGTGATTCCCACTACTGAACAATGACTTGTGTCTGCACTCATTGTATAATGCTCCCTTTGTGAAAACTGGGAACGAAGTCTGCTTGTTTGCCTGATGTATCAGCCAGAGGAAAAAAACAAGTGTGCTAGTGCTTAGGTGCTCCGTGCACAAGTCAGAGAATCAAACTGATAGATCAAGATACATGTGCATGTATTTCTGAGGCATCAGGATTAGAAGTCAAATCTTCTGTAAATGCTTTTTGTCCTTTTTGCTCAGTAAGTCTCCTAACTGAAAAGTACTGCAAAGGCCCATCAGCCATAAACTCTTGTGAGGGCAGTTTGGTATTTTATCATTTAAACTGAGTTAACCCCAATGTAGTCAATGGCTCTAAACTAATTAAATCCAAAGAAAATGAGCATCAATCATAGCCACAAACAGAGATGAAAGCACTCCTTGTGATATTAGTCCTGGACATTACACAGTCCTACCAATGCACGTCACTCGTTTTCCAAAGTCCCCACTTCCAATAGAGCTCTTCCTCCCCACTACCCCATGTATGCATCTCATTCTTGGTCTTCAATATCTGCAGCTGTTACAACACTGGGTCCCACATGGCTCAGACAGCTTCAGAGAGTTAGATTCTTGCCTACTACCATTTAATTTTCCTTGGGATCTAGTTCATTTCTAATTGCTCAATATAGGAGGCAGCAAAATAAACAGCGGAAACCACCTAGGACTATATTACCATAGACCAAGAACTGACAATTTGCAGACTGGAGGCCTTGCCCAGGTAGCGAAGGGAAGCGCTGGTGGCTCTGGCTCCAGCTCCCATGGTAGCAGTGTGGGCCAAGCTCAAATCAGATCCATCAGAACCAAGCTCAAATAACACGGCAAGCTCCTCCACTGCAAAATATTGCTGATATCTACCATAGACCATTTAATTCCTGTCCTAATCTAGAGTTGAATTTGTTTCTCAAAATCATAGGTTTTAGAGTTTAAAAGACACAGGCCTGGGAGAAAAAACATTGGAGTTTTATTCCCAGCAATGCCAACAACTTTCTCTGTCTTTGGGAAAGTCATTTCATTTCTCTGTACCTCTTTTCTTATTTGTATAACCAAAGACAACCGAGCAGGGTGTGGGGCCCCACCTGCGGACGCGAGGAAGCTGTCGGCGGATTTGGTGGCGAGGGGGTGGGGTTAAGCGGCCAAATGTGAAGCTGGCAGCAGCATGGAGTTGCCACGGCTGCTCTGCTCATCTCTGCAGGGCCCCCCAAATCGCAGGGCCCAGGACGGTCACCCCAATTTACACCCCCCTAGGGATGGCCCTGTGTGTAACAATACCCATCCCAGATGAATGTTTCAAAGGCTAATTACTGAAACCCTTACCCGGTCACACTACACTCTAACCTTCCTAAAGAAGACAGCACTGATTGGCCCATCCTTCAAGACATCCTTCTGTTCAAAGTGTTGCTGGCATATTCCATTCGAGTACATCCTGTAGCAGAGCAGTCACTGTAAACTCCAACCTCCATTCCCCTAAGGCAAGCAAAACTTATGCAGAAGAAAAATGGGTTCAGGGCCTCAGTGGGCATGTGTACACATTCACTAATGTGCTGTAGTTACTGCGCATTAAGTTTAGTATTTGGTTAACTAAGTACTAAATCAATGCACAGCATAGGCGACACATAGGGAGGGCACGGGGGGTGGGGGCATGTGCCCCTCCTGACAGGGCTGCCGCCAACACTGCCAGCAGTGCCTGTGGGTGCCCCGCCACTGACTCAGGAGGCACCAGTCACCCATGATGCACAGTAACGTGCTACTGAGCAGTAGTGCCAGCACACGGTTATTTAGGGACGCTTCCTGTGTGGTAGCCTAATACTACTGAACAGTGGTGTATTATGCTACTGTTATTAGGCTACTGTGCAGTTAGCATCTCGTGTAGATGTGCCCAGTGTGTTCAAATGAAGCTCATGACATTCATATCCAAACCACTGTTTTGGGAATGGGAGATGTGGTAGATAATTAATTCATACACAGTGGTTATAGGTACCTCTTCTGGAGAAAACGCTGTGGTATTAATTTCTATTACACATGCTTCATTTACTATGTAATGGACCATGCAGACTAGGGGGTGGGGAAGGGAAGTATGTATTCATGCATCTTGTGTACTTTGCTTGAACAGCTTCCTTTAGAAGAGAATTAATTGTTTCACATGGTATCATATTCCATCCTTGTACTATTGCTAGAAGGCCAACAGAGATTTAGATGGATCTGATTTGTTTGTTGCCTAATGTTTCAGGCATACTCAGTCTGAGGTCTTAATAACATTAATTAATTTCCAGTGTTCTGAGCTAACCAGAAATATGCAGATAAAAATACCACCCCAGACTGAACTGGCTCAGAAAGCGTGCTTGGTGCCAACTGTGGAAATCCCATGAGGTAAGGGTATAACATATGCTGAAATGTAAGTAGGAGCAAAGTCAGGCTGGAGCTTCGTGCTGACTTAGAGAAGGCTTCATTTTAGTTCTCTTGTTGTGTTATACCAATGTATCACATACATAAATGGCTTGGCTATAGAAGATGCTCTGAACTCCTCAAGTTGCCCCAGTATAATTGGATAAGAGAAACTACCATTGTAGAACAGACCGCTGGTCCACATAGTTCATTAGTTTGACAGTCCTCAGTATTACCAGATGCTTTAGAGGAGAGCTGTTACTCCCACAGCCCTTAGGCTGCAAGGACTTGGTTTGTGGTCCCTAGGCTCCCACCCAGCTGCTGTTCCCCACATCGCTCCAGCTGCAGTAGCAGCAGTGAGTGACTCTAGGCTCCCCTCCCTCTGGTTTCTGCTTCCTGTGCCGCCCCAGGAAGTGGGACAGAGCAGCAGAACACAACCCACAGTGCCAGGAAAGCCTATGCAATGGGGCGTTGGCACAGCGCAGCGGAGGAGCCCACACCCGGGGAGCTGAAGGTGTTCCAGTGCCCACATGTACACTGCAGGGGGGGGGAAGTGTCTGTGTGTCTGGTGCAACAAGAGGTAGGGAGCGCCCAGGCATCTATGGTCCATGACGGTGTGGTCCCAGCGGCACGTGGCCTCCTCTTATGGAGCCCATGGGGCATGTGGTCCCCAGCTGCCATGGAGTTGGGCAGCCCTGTTTTAGAGGAAAGTATACAATACAGCACAGAAGGCAGGGACAGAAAAGGTAAATCACAAGCCCAAAGCAAAAGTTTCTTCATAACTCACATTAGCTGGCAGTTGATCTTGAAGTGACAGATGGAGAAATACAACTGTATTGATGCTAATTCTTGAAAATGAAACTTTTAACAATATGTATGTCTGTGTATGTACATATAAACTCCCAATGAAGAGGCACAGTCCATGGCCTGGAAAGTGAAAAGAAAAAACTATCAGATAAATAATGATGACTTGATCATATTATAAAGAGTTCTTTGAGTTTTAATGATCTATGAGGCTGTTAGTAATACAGGGACAGACCTATTTTTAAACATAATTTTAAAAAATTATCTTGACACTTTCCCCCTTCAGAGATTTGCTAAATTAAGTCACTCAGCGTGATGGATTGGAGAAAGAGAGACAACAGAATTTTTTATATCTATATTACAAGTTCTGGCCTTGTAGAAACCCTATTTACCTTCTGCTTTAAAGAGTCGTTACAGAAACTTTCTGAATGCTCAGGGCATGCCTCACTTTCCCTGTTTATTCACATCTTTTTGCATGCATTTTAATTCAACCAGAATTGGGAACAGACATAGCTTTTGTTTGGTTTTTGGAATCATATGCCTGCTCCATCATTATGAAATAAATGGAAGCTTTCCCACTTACTTTATTATTCTTTTTTATTGGTACTGTCTTATTATTCTCCTTCGTACTAGTCACAGCACAAATCAAATACAGATCAAAAAAGGCAATCCTTGCCACAAACAGGTGCACAATCAAGCCTTCAGTAAAAATAATCTGGGAACTGTGGGTGGGGCTGGATAACTGTCTATGGGATGTGGATCTTTTCACCTCAGCAATCAGATGGCACTTCCTTAAATCCAATTTAGGTTGGGAGTGACCAAGAGATTTTATGTTGTCTGCTTAGTAATATATGACAATGAAATATTGGGAGTGTGTTCTGATGTCCAAGCTACAACACCACAACTACATCTGCCATTAGCTTGCGCCATTGGAGACAGCAAGAAAAGAGAGGTTAAAAACAAAATGAGTGCAGATGCTGTGATGTCTATTGCTCATCCAGATTAAGACAGGGGCACTTGAAGGATCTGTCAAACCAGCACCTTGTACCTTCCACCTTCCAGTTAAACTAGCGACATAATTAACTACAGAAACCAAACACCTCTAAAAGGAGTAGGTGGAAACTAGCCTCACATAACATTCCTTCTGTATGAATGTATCTCATATTTAAAGAATCCAACTGTTTGTAGCAGATCTACCTGGATGGCATATTCCCATTACATTAAGAAGCACTGGTACTTATTGGGTCCCTGGAGCATGACACAATGACACCTAGTGGTTAAAGCAGAGCGGTGCAGAGAAAGTTAAGTGAGGCTGGGTCACTTGGCAGAGATGAAAAGTGCAAGAAAAATCAGTTCAGTTGACTGATAACAGGTATTTTAAATGCCCATAGGTCATGTCAGATAGCTTGGGCCTGAAGTCTGGAGGCTAAGATGTTGCAAAGAACTGTGGGGTGGCAAGCTCTTGTAATGAAAACGAGACACGTAATTGGCTGCTGTCTCTGAAGTCCGTTCACTGTCAGTATCCACCACACTCCTTACAGATGCCAATACAAGGTTTTACTCAATCCTTGCACTGGTGATTGTACAGGAAGGCAAAAGGGAAGTTAATAAGTGCTTTCAGCTCTTTTAAGATACTGGACTTTTTTTTTTTTTTAAAGGAGGAAGTTACATTTTCAGTGAGCTTGAAACATTTCATTTACTGTTACCAGTTAGGCTTCTTGTTTATTTTTCACTTCTGTCTTCACAAGGAAGATGAGGGACTTCTATCCTTAAACTCTTGCCCTTTCTGCCACTCCAGCAGCAACTTGCTCCAAAGTCTGGGCTGCAAACAAAGAAAGGAAATGTTTAAATGCAAACAAAATTCACCTTTTCAAAAAATGGAAACATTTCTCTTGATCCAAGCTGTATTATGCTGAATGTTCTCACAGGAGTTGTACAGTTGTTAAAGGCAGGATGAGATCTTGGATAGAGGCTTTGAAACCTAGCAATAGCTAAAAAAAAAAATACCTGTGCTTTGTCTGTTTTTTCTTGACACCTTGCAACTAAGACAAATTTATAGTCCAGTGTGGAATGGCCTGACCTGCCAATCACATTTTAAATAGGCCATTTGCAAGAGTTCAATGGGGCCAGAGGAAGGCACATTGTATTGAACAAGCCATTAACTTGTAATGTCTGCTTCACAGTGGCATTAAGTTGATCATTTCCCAGGTACAACTGCAATAACCCTGGGCAGTGTTACATAGCTCAGACACTTACTGATATCTGGGAGCACCATTGGAGTCTTACAGGTCATCACCAGATATATTAGCACTCCCTCTGTAACAGCCTCAACTGTCAGCAATTGAAATGGAAAAAAGCAAAGCTGTTTCATCTGAGAGGCCAGAGGAAGAGGGTAAAAGATGAGAGAGGCTTTAGATGGGTGCAAAAGCAAACAAGCCACAGCTTGGGTCCTTGCCTATATAGAAAGGATTTTAGGATGGGATCGTTCAGGGATTAGATGGGCCCAAGCTTTACCCCAGAGAAGTTCTAGAGAGCATCAAGCCTGATTTTCCACTGTTTAGCCAGTTATGTATTCCCTTGCGTAGCTAGTTGTACTAACACAAAACACAAGCAGAATTCTGTCCTTCTCACTCTACAGCATTTTATACCCATTATGCATTTGTGTAAGGCTAGGGACAGACATTAAAAAAGCTGGAGCCTGAATTGATTCAGTCTTTGCAGGTTAGTCTAACTTGCCTAGATTGAACCAATTTGCAAGGGTACAGACATTCCCTCTAGAACGAGGAAATGCAGGCACCTACCTGCAGCCACTCAAGCCAGGAGCTAGGGAGGGGTAAAGCATGCCCTCAGCTGCAGGGAAGCTGTGCTGGAGGGGTATGGCCAGCCCTGGCAGTAGCCTGAAGTGAACTGGCCAGTGAGGGGGGTTAATTCCCTCCTCCCTCTCCCAAGGACCTGAGCCAGGGTCTGCCTGGTGCTCCCCACTCACTTCTGTAGTGGCAGAGGCATGACCAGACATTGGCTGGCATAGCCCCCTGAGGCAGAGGAGCAGAGGAGGATCCTGCCTCCTCTGCTCCCAGGGGACCACAGCTGGGGTCTGCCCACCCCAACTGCCACCACCACTATTTGCTCCCTGCACAGGGCAAGCAGCAGGATAAAACCCTCCTGCCCCCTCCACCAGATGCCAGAGAAAAGGGGGAATAACCCCTCTGGCCGCACCCCCACCACTGGAGCAGCGAGGGGGACAGGGTGACCTTGATGGGGGCTGCAGCCCATCTCATGGTGTCCCAGAGCACGAGCCTCTTCCTGGTAGTGGGGGCCATACTGCGGGGTGCAGAAAGCTGCCACAGACTCTGCGGGGTGAGTGGCAGCAATGTTGGGGGGCTAGCTATAACCACCACTCTGAGTCCTGGTGCTGCCGCTCACCCCATCCAGTCTGCAGCGGCTGTGACACTCTGCTGGTAGCCCCCCTGCCTGTTGTGGTGCATGGTCCCCGGACACCACAACAGGGGGTGCTGCCCCCCTCAAGGGCCCTGCCCCCTCACCAGCAGCAGAGCAGGGGCATGGCCAGCGGCTGACCAGCCATAGTCAATTAGGTGAGGGGGATTATTCTCCACTCTCTCTTGCATCTGGTGGAGGGGCAGGGAGGGCGCTTATCTCACCACTTGCCCCACACAGGGAGCAATTGGTGGTGGTGGTGGCAGCAGTCGGGACAGGCAGATCTCATCTGCAGTTCCCCAGGAGCAGAGGGGAAGTAACCCCTGCTTCCTGCCTCCTTTGCCTCAGGGCACCATGCTGGCCAGTATTTGACCATGCCCCCACCCCTGATGGACCCTGCATCTGATGGACTCTGGTTTGGGTCCATGCCAGTTGGACAGGGAGGAGGGAATTAAACCCCCTCCCTGACCAGTTCACTCAAGGCTACTGCTGGGGCTGGCCACACACCTGCTGCTGGAGCAGCCAGTGAAGAAATGCGGGTCCATGCCGGTGGGACAGGAGAGGGTGCGGGGAATAAACGTCTTCCCCGATTCCTTCTGGGGCCAGCATTTGCCCAGGCCCCTGCCCCTGCCTGTCCCTGTTCCAGCTACGAAGCAGAGAGGCAGGGCCAGCCCTGCTCCGCTGGAGCAGAGAACCAAGACCAGAGAGCAGGCCAGGATGCTGAGGGACTCTGGTTTAACTTAAACCAGGAAGGGGTCTGGGACAGACATTGCATAAACCAATTTGAGCAAAATCAGTTAAGTCTGAAACTACATTCAACCAGGTTCATCTCAAACCAGTTTCAGACATTTTGCAAGTGGTTTATGTGCACTGAACATATGTTCTGTTACAGGTTTAAACCAGTTTCTGATCACTTAAACTAGTTATGTGTAACTTCTGTCCCTAGCCTAAATGACTAAACAAAGAGCAGTGCAAGGGAGAGTTGGGTTCTCACATCACAATGACCAGTGGAACTGCACCAACAGAAACAATTGTGGGAAACTTTAGCAGGCAGCGGGGCAGAATGGGGAAGGAAGAGTCTGGTATGGACAAATTCTTGAGCCAAGGATTAGCTGTCAGCTACAGTAATCAATAGGGAAGCTTTCCTGAGTCACTCAATCCCAATCAATGAGTCGGCATTACAGTAACAAGAACTCAGGTGTCAAGATGTTAAATACAAGAGCTTTGTTTTTGTGCCTGCAAGGATCTTTGAATCGATACACATTCAAAGTCTACTGTCAAATAGTCCTACTAGTAGAGATTTTCAATTTTTTTAACTTCTTCATGGCTTATTTAATAATACTTAGCAGCTTTCACTACACTTTCCAAGTTTAGATTTAAAAATTTTAAAATGCTTCACAAAAGGTGGATAAGCATCTTTGCCCTTTGTCCTAGATAAGCACCTTTTGTCCTGAGAATTTAGAGGCATGGCATTTGTGACTTGAATTTTAGAATTCTATTACTGTAGTCACTAAAGTCAAGGGGAGCTTCTATGGTCTCCGAGATTGCTGCCCCTGTGCAGTTCAGGCAGAACAAACTAGAGTCTAAACCATCTGAAAGATTAACTTTAATTAGAATGCATTAAATGAGGGCCAGGGCACAGAAAAGTGGAAAACTGTTCTTTCATTAATGGATCCAGACATAATCTCTCAACAACAATGATGATCTATCCCCTCCATCCCTTTCCCCAAAGCTGACATGCTATAATATGCTGGAAGCCACGTTTTCAGAATGGATACATCAGAGAACCTCTTCACTTCAGTGTAACTGGGATCTGAAGAAAGATGCTGAGATTTCAGAAGCAACCTTTTGGGTGTGATATCTGCAGCACAGACATGTAAGTTGATGCCAAGCAACTCCTAGACATCGTATGTCTCTATGCATGGGCAGATTCAGGATTTTGGAAAGGGGGGTTGTGGGAGCAGCAATCTGTGCTACAAGTGTAGCTGCACCCCAGCTCCCAGCCTCCCTCACTACACGCACCAGGGCAGGTAGGCCACAAGGCAGCAACAATGGGGGACTTCTTTAAGTCCCTCAAGAAGATAGGAATCTTCCCTCCTCCCTACTTTCCCCCCTGTGTTCAGGAGCACAATCCCTCCCTGCCCCTCCTATTTCCCCCCTGCCCCCCCACCCCTCTCCACTGATGCCACTGCCATTGTCCCCAGCTAACTCGGGGGCAGGGCTGCATGTGGAACCAGGCTTGACTAGAGACAGCAGCAGTGGTGCTCCTGCTCCTGGCCTGGCAGGGAACTCCTAGGAGACTGGGAAAGGAGGAGGGACCTGCCTGCTACTGTCACTGTCCCTGGCTGAGCCTGGCTCCACATGGAGCCCAGCAGGAGTGGGCAGGAGCAGCTTTGGAGTGCTTCCCCTAACCCTCCCAGGGCAGCTGGAAACAGCAGTGGGTGGAAAGGATGGGCAGATGCTCCTGGGTATTGAGCAGAAGAGAGTGGGGATTCTTACTTGCTTCTGGCACTTTAGAAAAAGTCCCTGGCTACTGCTCCCATGACATGATTGACTGGAAGGTGGTTCATCCACACCACTGCACTCCTCTGCCCCAAATCCACCGCAGCCTCTATACAGACTTCTTTCCTACAACTCCACTTGCCACACTATATCATTTACAGCTGATAGCTCATCCTTTGCTCAGACAAGCAATACAAACAAATGTCTTCTTTTTAAGATCAGAATCAATTATTGGGGAGGGAGGCAAAGAGAGCAGCATGGCTTTTTCTTTCAGCAGGGAAGCCACACGCAGCATGGTGCAGCTAAACAGTACAGTCCTGACTTGCAGCAGAAGGTATGTAAAGAAGAGACCATTGTTCCCAAATGCAGACTCCAGTGAACACATGAAGGAGCTTAAGTTCTTCCCAAGAGTCTTAAAAAATTCAAACCCTTAATGTCTTATGAATTTCTTTCAGTAAGCCTCTAGTTCTCAGTTGCATCTTCCAAGAGGAGCCTCAGCAGCAGGCTCCTCTCCCAAAAATGGCAAAAATTAAAGGCTGTCCACACAGTATTTAAAAAAAAATGTATTCTTTTTCCTTCAAACTTCTGATGAAGACAGACAGACTAAGAAGTTTTTCTTTAGAAGTTACTACATACTTGTTTTAACTGCTCCTATTTTTAAACCTTAGACATGTTAGGAAGAGCAAAATGTCCAGTCCTCCATGCTCTTTTCTGTGGACCTCTTGACTCTCAGATGTGTTTATTATGAGCTCACACCTTGTTCAAGGGGCTGGAATGCTGAATTTGTAACAAAGATGACATTTCCCCCAATGTGTTTGTTAGTCATTGGGGTGATATTATTACATACATATTAAACATGGAAATATTTACACATTCCAATTAGAA